ACTGCGGTGAAAGTGTTGGAGAAAACTTGTTGACGTCCCCGATAAACCAGCACTGGACACGGCCCTCCACGGAGGCTTTTCTCTTTCTCTCGCGGGGGGGGGGGTCCGTGTTGGCCGAAGCGGCACTAACCTGGAGAGCGGGGCAGTTGTCGTGTCGACGTTGGCGGACCGCTGTGCTGATTCTCCCAGAACGCGAACAATGACACAATGTCGCGGGTACTCATGTGCGAGAATCGCATTTCTACTCTGGAGCTGAACGTCATCCCCGCGCCTCCGCTCTGGCCAAGGGGGGAAAACGATCACGGTCGACTTCAGTCATTGGATCGTCCCGACCGTCCGTATTCCCGGATCGGACGGCCAGCAGGCGCGCGCGGAGGGTCCACCCGGAAAACCACATATATGAGGCAGGCCCACCACTCCCCATTGGAACATCCCGACCGTTAGTACCCCCGGATCAGACGGCCAGCAGGTTCCCTGCGAAGGGCCCTCCCGAAAAGCTATATATATGAGGGAGGGCCACCAGTTCCCATTTTCGTTTCAGTTCGGCAACGCAGCAGTAGCACAGCGCAGCAGAGGCTCGTGCCACAGCGTATCGCAGTGGAGGCTCGTGTACAGCGCAGCAATGGAGCGCAGGGATTCGGTCCGTGCATAGCAGACCACCTGCTCGACGCGACGGCGGACCACAGCGCTGTCGCGAGGCGTGTTCAGCGCGACGACTGAGCGAGCATACGGCCCAAGATCGCGACGCACAACCACAGTGGAGCACCCTGAGTTTGAAGGATCAGACGGTAAGGACACAACCACGCAGCCTAGATGCAACCACGTAACGCCACGTGGCACTTCCGGTTGTCGAGTCGAACACAATCGGGCCAGATCGTCGAGTCCAACACGATCGTGCCCGATCGTCGAGTCCAACACGATCGTGTCCGATCATCGTGTCGAACACGATCGTGCCCGATCGTCGAGTCGAACACGACAGTGCCCGACAATCAGGTCGAACACGACCGCAGCTGATGTCTGATTGTCGAGTCGAACACAACAGTCGAGTCGAGCACGCTCGTCGAGCCGAACACGATCGTCGAGTCGAATACGCTCGTCGAGTCGAACACGATTGTCGAGTCGAACACGATCATCGAGTCGAACACGATACTGCCCGATCGTCGAGTCGAACACGATCGTCGAGTCGAACACGACACTGCCTGATCGTCGAGTCGAACACGATAGTCGAGTCGAACACGATAGTCGAGTCGAACACGACACTGCCCGATCGTCGAGTCGAACACGATAGTCGAGTCGAACACGACACTGCCCAATCGTCGAGTCGAACACGACAGTGACTGATCGTCGAGTCAAACACTATCGAGGAGTCGAACACTATCGAAGAGTCGAACACGATAGTCGAGTCGAACAACGATCGTCGAGTCAAACACGATCGTCGAGTCGGATACGATCGTCGAGTCGAACATGATAGTCGAGTCGAACACGATAGTCGTGTCGAACACGATAGGCGAGTTGAACACGTCGAGTCGGACACGATCGTCGATCGTGTCCGGACGTCCAGTAGAACACGATCGTCGAGCCGAACACGATCGTCGAGTCAAACACGATCGTAGAGTCGAATACGATCGTTGAGTCGAGCACGATCGTCGAGTCGAACATGATCGTCAATCGTGTCCGTACGTCCAGTAGAACACGATCGTTGAGTCAAACACGATCGTCGATTCGAACACGATCGTCGAGTCGAACACGATCGTCGATTCGAACACGATCGTCGAGTCGAACACGATCGTCGATCGTGTCCGGACGTCCAGTAGAACACGATCGTCGAGTCGAACACGATCGTCGAGTCGAACACGATAGTCGAGTTGAACACGATCGTTGATTGCGTTCGTCGAGTCGAACACGATAGTTGAGTCGAACACGATCGTCGAATCGAACACGATCGTCGAGTCGGACACGATCGTCGAGCTGGACACGATCGTCGAGTCTGACACGATTGTCGAGTCGAACACAATAGTCGAGTCGAACACGATCATCGATTGCGTTCATCGAGTCGAACACGATCTTCGAGTTGGACACGATCGTCGAGTCCGACACGATCGTCGAGTCGAACACGATCGTCGAGTTGAACACGATTGTAGAGTGCGTTCGTCGAGTCAAATATGACAGGCATGACAGGCGAGTGCCCTGTCGTCGAGTCGAACACGATCCTTCCCTGTCCTCTAGTGGAACAAGATTGTGCACGGTGCAATGTCATCGAATCGTTCATGATTGTCTGCAGTGCTATGGGCCGCGTGCGTCGTGTCCTGGAAGATCGTGCATGGGTTGTGTGCGTGGAATTATGGGCGTGGATTGCACACGTAGATTCTGTGCATTGTGTTGTCGTGCGGCCTGGTTTGTTTCCATTGTTGGGGGGGGCGGGGTGAATAGTTCTATGCTGTTGTTGGTTGCTATTGCTGTTGTTGACCGTTGCCCTTGTGCCGTGCAGGGCGTCTTCTCTTCACTATTGCTATGGAGATCTCTAATATGACCCCAACACTTTGGCGTGCACGCAAGCCACACCCTTTCCCGCCTTGCTCGCTGTACGTCCGACAATGTCAGGGCAGCGTAACCTATGAAGGCGCTTGTCCAGAAGACTTCGAATGCGACCCTTGGATGAGAATCCTCCCGTTTGGCGACAAACATTTGGACTCGTGGGAGGAGTGCGAGTAGGTGAACATGACCGAGAGATGCCCGTGGGCGTGCGATTATCAGTTCGCGAATATGTCCGAATTCGGCAAACGCATTCCCGTGTTGTTCGATGTGCTGCGTCCCGTGCGCTTGCCGCTACTGTGTAAAAAGTTAAAAATAAGTCGTGTTGTGGGGGTTTTGGACTGTGAATACGTGACAACCTCGCCTCGCACCTGGTGCCGTGTTATGAAACAGGAGTTACTCGATTGTGCACGACATTCTCAGTTCCTCGATCATTATCCGTTGCGATCTCCCGGTCTATCGCCAGGAGCAGTTTCGTATTGTTGTGTGAGATTGCGTCTGGCATACTTTATCTTCTGTAGGGTCCTCTGTATTGCCGTTTCGAGTAGGGCAAGAAACTTGATTGATGTGTTTAGTTCAAAGAAGGGTAGACGGGAGACTGGATATCGTGGTGGGTGGCCAGGTAGAGAACGTTGTCGCATGGCGCGAGGTCGAGGCTAAAGTCGTTTCAATTCGGGATGCTATAGGCGCTTCTCTCGTCGGGAACACCGGGTTCGTGCGAATGTCATACATTTCGGTGTTTGCTGAGACGGCGCAGCAGCTGACCTTCATATCGCCAATTAGCGTGTTGAATGGCCGCGACGGTGGGATTGTTCCCCGTAGTCGGTAGATAGCCTTCGTCATACTTGATGGCCAAAACGGCATACTGAATGACCGTAATGGCCGCAACGGCGAGATTGTTCCCCGTAGTCGATAGATAGCCTCGTGGAATTCGCATTGCGATTGTTGTTCTAAATGTGTTATTTCGATAACAATACGCTGTATCTGCTAGTTGTTCTCATCATGTGTTCAGTGGCCAAAAGTACACACGTTTGACGTTGTTGTCCTCATATTGTTTTTCGATTCATTGAAACCCGGGAATGATGACATGTGCTTTTGGTTTGGCTGTGGACACCGATACATCGCTGTCAGCCGAGTGTTTGATTGTTGTTCTCATGTTGTGTTTCCTTTCGGAAAAAAAACTCGTTGTTCTGATGTTTTGCGTGCACAAACATTCAGCAGTCAATGTTTCTCCGTGTTAACCAGTGCCTGCGATCTGTTGTTTTGTGTTATCATGATCAAGTGCCCCTTTAGGCACCGTCCGCCGACCACTGCGTCGAACACAACAAATGTCGCACAACACACCCCAGTCTCGCTGTCGTGTTCGACACGATGGTAGCCGCCGACCATTGTGTCGAACACGACAAATGTCGCACAACACACCCCCGTGTTGCTGTCGTGTTCGACACGATGGTTGCCAGACAGTGCCCGAAGGGGCACGTGGTCGACTGTCGAACGACAGAACACAGTGTCGCTGTCGTGTCGAACACGACGGTCAACTCCCCTTCAGGCATCGTTTGGCGACCATCGTGTCAAACACGACATGGACACTATTATCTGGCGACCAGGCGGTGCATGAAAGGCCGCTTGGTCGACTGTCGCATTGAAGACAGCAGTGTAACTATCGTGTCCAACACGACCGATGGTCAGCCCGCGCAGTGCCGAGCTCGACGTCGAGCAGGACGACGAGTTGGTCGGTCGTCGGGTCCGACACGACAGTGACACGACGAGACCGCAATGTCGCTCTCGTGTCGAATTCGACTGTACTGGAGGACGTCGTGGCACGGCCGTCGAGTTCGACACAACAGTGAAACGTCGACGAGCTAGCGGGCTGCGGCCCGCTTCCGTTGCTCTGTGTTCCTGTCTATTCTTGTTCTCAAGTGCTGTGGTGTTTGCACGTTGGCAAAGCAATGACTGCTTTCTCGCTTGTGCATTTTCTTCAGTTGCGACTAGCTGCTCGACATGGATCGTGAGGGGAATCCAAGCAAACGACGTCCTAGTACTGGTTCCGGGAGCATGGAGCAATCCCCGAAAAAAACGAAAGGGACACCAACGGCTGGCGTGGGGGCTGGCGACACACCTGGGTCTAAGGGCCACCGAACCCCGGTGCTGAGGGGTGCACCTTCTACGGGTACTCCTTCCGCCCATGTTCGGGGTTCGGGACCGGATTCGGCTGTGCTGATGACTGATGGGGCTGCGGGTCGAGAAGAGGAGGCTACTGGTCGGCAGGGGAAATCTACGATGGACGTTGTATCCAGGCATAGAAGGTATGGTGAGACGTCCGTTGCAGGTATGGGAGACGAGGTTCCTGTCATCGACCACGAAGACAGGTGTTGGATGTTGGACTGGGTGGGTGGAATCGGGGAACCCTCGGGTGGGCTGGCTTTGTATGTGGTGATCAAAGATAACAAAGTTCCGATTGGCAGTGTGGTGAAGTAGAGTGGAGGAAATTCACAGTTCGCCATGTTGGAGTTGACGATGGTCCTTAACGCTAGAGGTGAGCGGATGGCGAATGTCAAACGCGTTGCTCTTCGTTGGGCCAAACACGCTGGGTACGGCAAGAAGCTTTATGACATTTTCAATCCGCCCGAGACGGAGAAATTGACGTTGTTCAACCTTCGCGCGGTTTTCACATTCTTCGACAAAAATGTGGTCGCAGGGCATGAGCCGGTGGTGCATTCTTCCGACCGCATATCTGAACCGAAATGCGTGCTTTCGTCGTCTTTGGAGGCGGCTCCGTCGTCGAAACCAATCATTATAGGTGTCCGCCCACCGCCATCGCTTCGGACTACGGTTGCTGCGGAGGCGGCTCCATCGTCGAAACCAATCATTATAGGTGCCCGCGCAACGCCATCGCTTCGGACTACGGTTGCTGCAACACGAGTTCCGAAATCTGGGCAGATCGGGGAGAAAGGTCCGTGTCGCGGGCAAATCGTGCCGTCAGCGCATGTGAAGCGTAGACCAACATCAACCAAGGAACCCGTTTCCTTGGTCCGCCCGCCGCGCTATGAGTTGGTCATTCCTGCTGGGTCGCATTATTTTGGAGATGACGACGAGGAGAACAGCGAGGAAGATTGGGAGCGCGATGAAGAACGCGAAGAATATCAGGAGGGTGGCGGAGAAGAGGAAGTAGAGAGTGAGCACACAATCAGCGAGAGGGGTGGGTCGGGCGAATTGGAGGGTCGTCTAGGGGTTGAGTATGAGGACGAAGGGCAAGAAGAGGAAACGACCGGCGAGGGAGGGTATGCAGATGTGCATTGGGGTTCCAAACGAACGCAGCAACTCGCGTCGGGTCATGGGCATTGGGCAGCGGATCCAGGGAGCGGGGAAATGCACCGTGAAGTTGGGGTCGAGTCGGTGCATGCCGATGCAGTCCGACGAGCTGAGAAGAAAAGGAAGAACAGGCAAGAGAGGAGAAGTGCTTTGGACAGTAAGAAAACCAAGCAGGAGGGGGGAGCCAAGCAAGAGGAGGGCAAACACAAGTTGAAAATGTTGGCAGTTGAGGAGGCCGTCCAACGTATGCGGGAGGCTGAGGAGGCCATGAAGAAAAAATGGCAGCCAAGGAAAAAAACAGCGAAGGGAGGTGTGATGGAAAAAACTTTCGTTTTTCCACCGGACCAGCCACAGTCGGATGAAGACGCCGTGGGCAAGACAGTCACCAGACCGCCCGGTTTGCAGATTCTGCCGTCTGGGAATTCTTCTGGTCATCTGAGCAAAGGCTTCTTCCTTGAGTTCGACGAGAATGGTAAACAGAGGCCGGAAATGCAGTTCATTTATGTCAAGTTGGACATGATTCTGGATATCCCTGATGAGGAATTCAGATATAATCAACGCTTCCTTGATCAGGAGCTTATTGATGACCTTTGCAAAACAATGGTTGAGTCGGGTGAGGCAGCTATCAGAGAGAGAACGACCGGGGCAGCTGGGGTGAATGTATGTGCATTGTACGAGAAGCCTGTCCTTTTGTTGATTGGGCTACATGATACAATGCATATTAGCGCTTCCAGTACGAATGTGAGGGCGAGAAGAGTGACGCGCGGCGAATTTGATCTCCAATCCGTGCGCAAGTACTACTGGTACCCTCTCAGTGGTCAACACAATGTTGCCACAGCGAGGAAATGTTCTCAAGAACGCCTTGACATCGCCCGTGAGCTCCGTTTGGATTGCTGGACTGCAAGACCTGTTTACTATCCGGATAGGAGCATGGAGAATTACTGCACCTTAAGCACTTTCCAAAATGCGAAGGACAAATGGAATACTCCTCCGCACCAGATTGCTATCGTTAAGAACATACGAAAGTTGTGGCACACAGTCGGTCGTCCAGAAGCTATAGGCGGATCTGCTGCAGACGTCAAAAGTAAGGATTACAGAGAGTTTGCGGCGATGGCTCTGCGCGCGACCGGGAGTGATCATTTGGTTACTCTTTCACTTCAGGCTTGGAGCAAGGAGTGGTCCGACTTCCCCGGGCCTTACATGGTATTGGCAAGGGCGACGGACGATGTGTTCGAGAAGGTGCAACAAGTGTATTCTGCTTGGGAGAGTGGACAGTTGCCGGGGAGAGATGGTGTGAAGCGAATCGGGGAAAGCGTCGAGACCTAGCCACGGATTCGAGTTGAAAAAAGGAGTCAGGGTTCCAGTGCACTGGATTCAGGGTACTAGAGGACATGGTTACCTCGTGGTTGTGCGCGATCTAGATGTCAGATCATGGAAGGCTATGTCTACGTTGGGGACGTGTGAGAGGCTTCAGTTGTTGCGAGACATTCTCGCGGGAAGTGTCATACTGGCTCCAAGGCTAAGTAAAGTTGCTCACACTGTCGGGAAACATTCGATGGAGACATACGTGGAAATGGTGAAGCAGAAAAGAGCAATGTTGAGAATGTTTCACTACTTCGTCTTCATTTCTGACCCTCACAAGAAGCCGTCAGAGTGGAAGGAACCATTCTTCGACAACCTTTCTGATTTGTTTGCTAGGTATTGTGATCAAGGATTGACATCGGAGAGGTGGCTCGACCAGCGACGACATTTCAAAGAAACGAGTTGGGTGAGGTCATTTCCGGCTACACTTGGAGACGAGGATGAGAAAGGAGAGGAGGGCTTCAAGAAAACAAAATCGCTTGCAAACAAATGCCCCGAAGAGTTCATTCAATTTGTCAACAAGTTGTTGCGTAGATCTGAAACTGGGGGTTCGCATAGCATTCGTATGTCGGAACAAGCGAGATATATATATTTCCAGAAACAGGACGTGACATCTGTATTCGTGTCGTTCCAGTGGGAACCGAGTGATGTTTCAGACGAGATGGATTGCAAGGAGATGTTTAGAGCCATCAGACACCTGACGTGCCACACAGCCGTCCTGGATTTGTGCCGCCCGACCTAGATGGGTGCGTGGACTGAACAAGTGTTTCATGGACTCAAGAAGTTCATGGACAAACTTGGCAGCGAGTATTGGACATTGTTGTGCTTCGTTCCACGCCCTTGTGAGTTCACATTCTTGAGGCGAGTCTTGATGTGGGACATTCAATTGGATTTTCTCAAATGGACTCGTCTACAACAAACAAAGGGGAAAGTGTATAAGGTTGCAAACTTGCCTTTGGAGGACACAGACGGAATGGTGGTCATCATATACTCCAACGACGGAGATTTTCATCGCAACACTATTCCCTTGTTTGAAGATATTCAAGTTGCAGGTCCATCATCTGTCGAGCGGGTGGCTGACATATCGACACTTGTGCGGAGAGAGAGAAAGCCGAAGATGTTGACTGATGTCGTGGAGAAGAACTTTCTACCATCAAAGTGAAAAATGGCAGGTACGGATCCACCGGAGAAAGTGGTCTATGATGGTATGGAAAGGGACCCGAATGCGATTGTGGAGACATTGGAGCATTTTTGCCCTGCAGATGAGGTTGACGTTTTCCTCGGAAAAGGTCATGCGGGATTGGTTTGGGAGTTGTTAAAGAGTCACCGCCATTGCATTGTGCTGGAAGGGGAGGGTATGAAGTTCGAGTTCCTCACTCAGTTCATTAACAAGATGGTCAAAACTCGAGATTACTACGCCAACTTTACTAAGCCGCCTCCTCGACATCATCGACGACATGATGAAGGGCGTAATATCGTCTACAAGGTTGGCCAAAACGTGGTCAATATTTGGGAGTTTCTCTTCGAAACAAAGCCGCAAGACAGAGGGGAACGTACTTATGTCCTCAGAAGAAGAAAAGTGGAGAAGCTCTTGAGGGGTTATCATAAAGCACCATCGAAGAGGGAGGTTTCATTTCTCGACCGCTTGGAGACAATGTACTTCGACCAACAAATCGGGGCATTTACAATCGCAGGTTGTGCGACTTGTTTTGTTGATGGTGAGGACTTTGATGCCGACGACTCAGAAGAAGAGAGTGTTGATGACACTTTGCAAGCGGCTTTGGCGGCTGAGAGGCAAAGAGCTTGTAGCCCGTCTTCGCATTCGCAGAGAATGGGTGTTCCAGGCACATCGTCCGGTTCTGGAGGAGCTTCGAGCATGGCGGTTTCAACGGATCAGTTAATGACTCAGCCGCCGACTTCTTCTATTGTTACACCGACTTAGATGGCGGGCAATACGATGACGGTGGCATCAGGAGGCAGTCTGGATCCGAATGTTCTAGCAATGCTCTCCCCAGAGTTGGTGGCAACTCTGGCACCATTTGCACACAGCCCAAGTACTATTATGGAATTGCTACGCTCTCGAACTCCACAACAACCTCCACCTGATGAGCCTTTGGAGTACGAGATTGGAGACACAATCCCTGCAGACATTTGATTGTTTTCGGGGCCTATAGTGTGCCGAGACGATTATATGGTAACGGATGATGCCACATGCGGTCATCACATTATATGGCACCCCCAACACTTCCAACCTGCATTGGCGAGAGGGAGGTGGGTTATGGCTATAAAAGAAGAAGGGGAGTGACAGTTTTGCCTCCACAGACGTAGGTCAGGATCGAACTTTCAGAAACATGTCAAAAATCAGATTGCCAAGCGACTCGTGCGACTTAATCCGGAGGTTTCTGAATCAAGACTAGATGTAAGAACAAGAAATTTTCCAAGAGTTCAAAACATCGCAGTGGCTTGAGTATCTGGAACAGTTCTATGATAGACAAACCAGCCCGGCTTATGGATATTATTGGCATGTCAGAGAAGATCTTGGGGAGAGGAAAAAATCAAGCGGCGGTGGTGATCATGGCAAGGGATACGGATCGAGCGGAGGTGCGCATGGCAAAGGATTGTGATCGGGGAGCGGTGCAAGTGACAAGGGTCCGAAACCAAATGACGGTGCAAGCGGCAAGGATGCAAGTCGTGGGGAACGACAACAAACCGAAAAGTCTAAGGGGCGTCAAGCAACAGAAGGCAAGGGATCAGCACCATGCGGCGGTGGGCATGGCAAACCTACAGGACCAAGCGGCGGTGGTTCAACTGTCGAAGGGTCTCAGGGGCCTCAAGAAACAGAGCGCAAGGGATCAGGATCGAGTGGTGGTTCAATTATCGAAGGGTCTCACGGTCGAGTCGAACACGACAGTGGCCTCGCATTGGAGCGTTTTCGGCTTGACCAAGTGAAGATACTCACGATCGAGTCGAACCCGACAGTGGGATCGGAAACGATCGCCTGTGCGACTGGCAAGGCTTCGGGACCACGGGGGGGCATTACAACTATCGGCGGTGCTTCACCTGTCAAAGAGTCACAGGGTCGTGTTGAACACGACACTCGTCCAGCATTCGAGCGCTCGTGGCTTGACCAAGCGAAGAAACTCACTGTCGAGTCGAACCCGACAATGGGATCAGGATCAATCGCCGGTACAAGTGGCAAGGCTTCGAAACCAATCGACATTGTTTCACATGTCGAAGGGTCACACGGTCGAGTCGAACACGACAGGGGTCCACTATTGGAGCGCTCCCAGCTTGACCGAGCGGAGAAACTCCTGGTTTAGTCCAACCCGACACAGCAATGGGGATCGATTGCCGGTGCGAGTGCCAAAACTTCGGGACGAAAAAGGTGGTGCGAGTTGCGAGGGCGTGAGTACAGCTGACCCAAGTTTGGGCGACTACGATACTAGTGGGCGACAGTGTTGCTATGGAAGTGGATATTACTGATACACTCACGGAATTGCAGATGCCGTCGTCGATGATGCCAGCTGAAGTAAGCGGCACTTTCCATGACACTTTTGAGGGCGTAAAGGAGGAACAAACTCTCCATGTACAGGGCATCAAAGAGGATGAAGGGCATATAGTACTAAGTACACCGGAGCAAGTTGTACTTGTACAACCTCAATAAACGCTTGAACAACCTCAAACACCACAGTCTGTTAACCTCATGATAGTTATCGAGGAATCTCATATTGCGCCATTGCATATGGAAGGTGTGACAGAAGGTCGTGTTGAAGAAAAACTGAGAGTTAACCATCGAGGTGAGCACTTTCTTATCTTAGGAGCAATATCTAATACTATATGCGGATTAGTGGGTACATCACATGCACTCATCTCCCATTGTGTCGATCCCTCAGATATATTGTTTATTTACCTAACTTTGGAACTGTGCGTTTTCTGAAGAGAAATACTGCAATTGTTTTGTATGAAGACTCAGTGTAATTGCCATATATTTTGTATTGGTATTCATGAGTCAGTTTCAACAACGGAAAGTCGGGCTTGTAACTCATTATGTTTTATTTTGTCAATCATGCAGGGCGACGAAAAGAACTGTGGAAAACGACAAATGTACACTCGCAAAGGAAGAGAGAGAAGAATATCATTCGTTGTGGCTTGCAAGCTTTGTCAACTTTGCCATTATTGCCAAAAAATGAGAGAAGAAGTCGTACACCCATGACATTTCCATCTGTGAAGCCAGCTGCCTTAAGGATGCTTAAAGCTGTTGGAATAAGCCTCACAGAAGGGAAGAAATTGCATCGCGCAGGTTGCAGTTTATATATTATGGATAGCAGCACTGATGACGAAACAGATAGACAACCAACAACATGAGCTCATATCTATGTAGTCTATCACTTGTTTTTGTGTGAAGTCTTAGTCGCTCTATTGTTGTTTATATGTGGGTTTGTATGCAGTGCATGACCCTTCGTTCCAGATTCCTTTAGCAACAGTACGCCTTACTGTAGAAGAAAATAAGTATCTTGAAATGATTACCGGCAGCACTGAAGAGAATGAAGAATACGGCATTGTCGATTACAAGGGGAGGTGGAAGGTGGAAAAGAAAGACGTCATGACTACGGTCCAGCCCTCGAACTTTTGACAGGTTTTTTCAAAGCGGAGTTTCAGCGACAAAATCTTCGGGAAAAATATCATGTGGAGGAGCCTACATCCTACTTTGATACATCAGTAGATGGGATTCCTGCTCAAGAGGATTCTTCTAGTTGTGGTGTTTTTATGTTAGGTTTTGCATCTTTGCTTGCAAAAGGTGACTTCCCTCCGTTCAGTTTCTCACAAGATAGTATTATTGATATAAGACTTAGAATAACATTTGACATTTTGTCCATGGTTAGATAGGAAAGTCGATGAGAATTTCAGGTTTTAGGTTTGGAAAAATGAGGTTGACATGTTTACTGAGTGTGAACATTCCGGGTGAAAATGTGTATCGTAGGCAATTTTGAAAACATGTTGACAATGTATAATGACATTTCATAGACTTCTCATCAATTGTTGATGAGGTTGGCTTGTTTTACTGAGTGACATGTTTACAGAGTGGATTGCCAATCCTTGAGTGACATTTTTGCAGCTTGTGTACGTGTGAACATTCGAGGTGAAAATTTTTGTTTAATTTCCTTCAACAGCTTTCATGT